CCTTTTAGTTTTAGTTGGTGTCACAAACCCGGATTAAAGGTTTCCCACCCGGGACTAAATGTCCTCCATAAGTGATTTCAAAAGGAGAGCGTCTAGGATTTTGTCAGATATGATATGCAGTTCAGTTGGTAAAGAAGCTACACGCGAGGCAAGAATCTCACGCATTGCAAGAGCGGTCTCCCTGGATTTAAACTTTTTTAGTTCCGATGATGGGCTTTAGTCCCGGTTGCATGATCAGGGACTTAGTTCCAGATCCGCAATCTCAATTGAAAAAATGGGACTAAAACTCACTTCCCAACCGAGATTGAAGCCCATCCATGTACTAGTGAAACAACGCTGGCTAGTTTCATAGCCATAAAACTCTAATCGTCTCTCTTTTTCGATACATACAAAAACTAGTGTTTTTGTTGATATGTTACTATATTTAATGTGCATGAAACACCCGTACCAATCACATTGAAACTGGACTTAGTTATACTTTCCAGAATTCCAGTTTCCAAACCACGGCAACTTCCATCGAGTCATCGAGAACGATGCGCAACGAGCGCCCCAAGGATTTGTGCCCTCTACGTACGGTCACTCGGCCCAATTAATGTTTAAGCTTCTTTCTTCATCATACACCGTCGAATAGCCTGTTCGCCTGTTAGTTTATAGACTAATAAATCTGATTAATGCTGAGTTGTTGTAAATAAAATACTATTAACTGATTGATAAGTTCTATCTAAAACCAATAAGCGAAACCCTATAACCGGCTGATTTGTTTTAGTTTAGTGAGGCAGGCAGCTAGCATTCCTTGGTAACGGCGCGGCGGGTAAAAAAGACAAATAAAACGCTTGATGTCCCAAAGGCTACAAGGGGCGCTGTGTGCCTGTGTCTTTCTCTAAAGACGCGGCACATTAGGGCCCCGTTTAGATGTGAAAATTTTTGACTTTTTGGTTACTGTAGTATTTTTATTTGTATTTGGTAAAAATTGTCCAATTATAAACTATTTAGGCTTAAAAGATTCGTCTCGTCAATTACGAGTAAACTGTGCAATTAGTTATTCTTTTTACCTACATTTAATGCTCCATGTATGTGACGTAAGATTTGATATGACGAGAAATCTTGAAAAATTTTGGATTTTAGGTAGGATCTAAACAGGGAGCAGTAGACGAGACGAGAGAGTAGCCAGCGGCCTAGCGCTGCCTCAAGCTACACGTACTACAACACGGTGCTGTCCTTGGAGACTCGTCATGCATGCATGAACTAGTACAGTGTTATACAGTAAACAATGGTGTCATCACGCTTACGAGGCGAGAGGCGCCAGACAGGCAGCGGCTCCCGATGTCACTGTTCTGTCACGGGCGCCCGCCATGTTGCAGAACAGATCCAGGGCGAAATGCGGAACAAGAGGTGGTGTGGGGTGTGTTTTTAACGCAAGTTGCCCTGATTGATGCAGAGATCTGGACAGGTTTGCCAGCTTTCAGAGCTGTTTCTGGTTCACCGTGATTCCGTGAACGTTCATGTGCTTGAAGAACTTTTAGCCGTGTGTGTTCTGACAGCAAAGAGACAAAGAACAGACATCGCGTATCGTCGGTTACGTACACTAGAAAAGTTTGTAGTGAAGCACTCAGCTTTTGCACCCGGTGGCGACTGATCACTTTCCATGGACAGGGACTTTATTTAGCACGTAGGAGTATAAGCAATGTTATCCACGAGCTTTCTTGTAATCCTGAAAGAAACCTGAGATGGATCGAGTAAAAACCCGGTGTGGCCTTTTGTTTCCCCTCTACTTTTGCTGAGATGGATCGTAAAAAACGATGCTGCGACGCACCTTTCGTGAAAGAAACCTGATTTCGAGAAGAGAACGCAAACAGTATGGCCGACGTAGCAAGCAAAGCAAAGCAAAAGCAGCTTCGCTTTACGAAGCTGGCATGCACTTGGCAGGGCCTGGCTCACTGGTTACCTCCACTGCACCCACTTCCCAGTTGGCCCTCGTTTAGTTCGGCGCGGAATCGGCGCCGTCACCTTTCTGTGCCACAGTAGCCTGATTTCGTTTGAATTTGCAAATAATTGTCCAAACGCGACTAATTAGGCCAAAAACGTTCGCAAAGTAAAGTACAAAAAGCAGCAATTAGTTTTGATTTACGACATTTAAGCTCCATGCACGTACTCAGGGCCTTTGATGCTCACTTCTTTACATCCACTCCAAATTGGGGGACTTCCCAGTTGGCTGGTTCCACTTGCACCCATGAAAAGGTGGCCAACTCAGTCATGTTCGTTTTGTTGTATTTGACTTATAAGTCATGACTTATCAATCAACGGATATAATTTTTCTCTCGTACCAAACCAGCCAACGGTACTTTCAGCCATATCTTATAAGCTAAACCAGTCCAAACGGGCGAGGACAACTGGACAAGTCACTGAAGGCTGAAGCCACAGCAACACATGCAAATTTGCAGTGGTGGTGTTCCTGGCTTCCTGCATGCAGCTGCCAACAAGTGAATCGACGGAGCAGCAGCCTGCTCACTTGACAAGCCCATGCCGTATCGCCATGCATGGTCCTGTCACACTTGCAGCTGTGTTGAGATCCCTGTCGACGCCGGCCGGCCGGCGACTTCAATTTGCCAGGGAGGAGAATACAGAGCCGAAGGGGAAAACTCGTGGTAGATCTCGGCAAGTCTAGAGGCTCCTTCCACTCGATTCTTCAATGCCCAGCGGTCGTTCTCAATACGGTAGGCTGTCCATAAAATTATTGCAGCGTCAACACTGTAGCATTAACTAACTGTTGGGGCATGCATTTTACTCCTACTCCTACCGACGCTACTACGGCAGGCAGAGCGCACAGGAAACGGGCAGCAGCATGTGATGTGGCATCTCGCCTCGGCAGCCGCGCATCTCCACCCGCAGGCAGGAATCTATCTTCTATTCTCACCGCGCCGCTCGGCGACGTGGCCGGGGTCACGGGGACCTTCCCCGGTTTACTTGAACTGATATATCAGTTGATTTATCAGTCATAATACAGAGTTTTTCTCTTACAACAAAACAGTATTAATCGGCTTATCAGACGTAGAAACTATCAGCCCAACAGAGTGCTTGTTTACAGCCTGTTCGCTTGCTCGTTTATGATCGTGGATTGTAAGTTGGAATACTATTTTTCTCTCACATCAAACTAGTTAGCAGTAAATAATCCAGATCGTTTACGACGATTAAACGAACAGGCTGTTAATCGCCGTTAACAGACGTCCAACCACAGCCACATGTGTGCTGACCGGCCGTCCAGCTAATAATCTTCTACAGGTGCAACGTCTCATCATGTCATGGCCACGGCCACGGCCACAGGGGATCCATCGGGTTGCACATTGCTCTGCACTTTGCAGTTTGCACATGACCTGAACGGCTGAACCATCAAAGAATGCATGGCAGCAGTTGCCGTGTGTCCTTGATGTCGTGCATCACATCTCATCACCAGTTTCTGTTTCTCCGGCCTTTTGGTTGTACGAAACGAAACAGATGCGATGCAATCATGAGAGGGTGGCACCGTAGGTGAGAAACGTGCCGGTTGTTGAATGAACCCCAACTACAACCCCTAGCTAGAGATTCCACCTACTCGACCTTTTGCCTCTGTTTAAACAGTCAGTCAGTCAACGTCTCTCATGATCTAGGCCTCATTTAGATTACAAGTTTTTTCACTCTCTCTCTATCACATCAAATCTTTAACGCATCATAGTTTAATTGTAAATTACGAGACGAATCTTTTGAATCTAGTTAGATCATGATTGAACAATAATTGTCGAATACAAACGAAAGTGCTACAGTGCCAAATACTGATTCCTACCCTCGATCTAAACGAGGCCCTAGTAGCTATAAGCTGAGTAGCACGTAATTGTCACGAGCTTGACCGAAAAAAATGTATGTTGTGTAACCATGTGAATGTACAACATCTACCTATATGCTTATGTGAGCCATATCTAGGGAAGCCCAGTTGTTGCAACCACTTTTAACTCCTTGTGGGTGTTGCTATGCAGTGGTGTTGAACCAGTTTTGTGGAGGAATCACAAGCGGCCACACCCAGAGTGTGAATCTCTTTCCCATTCGTATTGCCTGGTCACAATTTTGTATAAACAGTATTGCTCTCATTTTTTTATACAATACACAATTTACCAAAACTAAAGTCATCAAATAAACAAATGCTCCATCTTTCTTTCATCGGTGACAGTAAGAATAAAGAAGCTTGACAAATGGCAATCAAACAAAACAAATAGTACATGCATTGAGCGGCGGGGAGCAGACAAGACGAACTTTTTGAAGCAATCATGCAAGTACAGATTTAAAAGCCAAACTATATTAGCATTAGCTTAGTATTAAACTCTAGTCTTAGAACAAAAAATGACAACAAAAATTGATACCAACTAGCTCAGACGTACTGCCACATCAGAGTCCAAATCCTCAGCTTATAAATGAACTAAGGAGCTTTTGACCACCCTTCTCTAGGAAATGAAATTTGCATCAACACCCTCCATCATCAGGTTGGGAACTTTATACTCCATTTGATTTGATTTCAAAACATTTACACTTCAACTGATTTTCAGGTTCTTGCCTTCTATCTAGTCTAGGAGACAAATTTCAACTTGGAAAATGCAGGCATTTCATAGCAGACGTTTTCATGCATGTCGATCCTCCAAAATCGAGTGTTTGCATTTTATGGTTGCCCCAACATTTTCTTCAATGGTTGCCCCAACATTTAGGATGTAGTAGTAGGGTCAATAGATGCAATTAGAGGTAAAAATTGGAGGGCGCCAATGCAAATTCCAAACCCAGGAAAAGGAGAGACTGAAAGGCTCCGATTACCATTTTAACCCTTCGAACTACCCTTATTTACGGCCATGATCATAGAGTTCTTACCAAAAGGAGACGAATGAAATTAAAATTACTAATAACAACAGATAAGTACTGCTACCGATATGATTAAACAGCCTGCTTACTTAGCTCCCCGCCTGAATCCTAGCGCGCTCGCGCGCTCAGAACGCGCAGATCTCATCGGCGCCCGCCGCCGCCGCCTTGCGCGGGCACACCGACACGGCCCCGCCCATCGTGTTCTTGCAGTGAGCGATGGCGCCCTCGATAGCGCTCTGGAGCTCCTCCATGGACGATGCCGTGGACAGTGACACCGGCGGACCGACGCCAATGCCGCTCGCAACGGCCGCCGCCGCCGCTGCCGGCACGTCGGGGAAGCCGACGCCACCGGCGCCGCCGAAGGTGAGCAGGCCCGAGTGGCTCGGCGACGACCGCATCGATGACGGGCAGCTCGCCGCGGCCCGCTTCTGGCGCGGGAACCGGAGGTTCCCGGAGAAGGAGTTGGAGTGCGCGTACTTGCCGCCAACAGCCTCAGCCTCCACCGCTGCCGCAGCCGCGACGGCGTGGTCGTCGTCGCCTCTCTTCTTGCGGATGGAGAAGGTGAACGGCTTCTTGAACCCCTGCTGCGGTTGGTTGTTGGCGCCGACGCCGCCGTTGACGTTGACGTTGTTCTGGTTCTTGGGGATCTGGGAGAGCTTTTCGTAGAGCGGTTTCACCTTCTTGGCGTACTTCTTGATCACCTCCTTGGCGAGCGACTTGGACGGCTGCTTCTTCGCGGCCGGAGCGCCGGCGCCACGGTGGAAGACGGAGGAGAAGCGAGTGGCGAAGGACGAGAGGTACTGCTTCCCGGTGCGCTTGCTGGAGGGTGGCAGCCCCGCGAACGAGGCGGCGGCCGACAGCGGGTGGTGCAGGTGGCGGTCATCCTCGGTGGCGGAGCTGGGGCGAGACGACGAGGCCACGGAGTCCGGGAGCAGGAGCGCGGCGCAGTCGGCGGAGAAGGACGACGACGTGCTGCCGTTGGAGTCGCGGGAGGAGTTGGACGTGGAGGTGGAGTCGGACGCGGAGGCGGACGACGTGGACGCCGACGACAGCAGCAGCGTGCGCACCATGGAGATGCGCGGCGATAGCTGCAGGGGCAGGAGCTGGCCCTTGTAGAAGAGCTCGTCGGCCGGGCACAGCTGCTCCGCCGACCGCTGCTTGGACGCCGGCGACAGCGTGACCGTGAACTCGAACTCCGACGACGACGACGCCGAGGACGGGAACGACCTCACGCCGCCCACACCGCCGGCGCCGGCTGCGCTCTTGTTGCCTCTCGTCCTGCCCATGGTGGCTGGCTTTGCGGCCCCGCTACAGACTCATGGCGTCGGGGGAGTGATGGAGAGGCGCGGTGGGGGCGGCCAGCATAGCGAGGAGGAGCCGAGGAGACGGGAGGAAAGGTTAAAACTTTTCGGGGGTGACGAACCTGACGTCTTTATGAGGGGTCGGGTCGCTGCAGCTGCGCCGAGGAGATGCCCCGGCGGGGACGGTGGCCATGACGGCCGCGATCGCATGTGAGGGCCGTCTCCGTGGCCGTCGGATCACTTCGGGATCAGGATCGTATGGCTTGGCGCTGAATATTCCAAAAAATAGTTTTCTTTCTTGGTCAATCAACAGGCAGTTAGCTGACTGATGACTGGATCTCGCTGTGAATGTGGACAGGAATTTCTGTGGTTTTTTCTCCATTTCTCCATGGAACAATGCACCTATCTTTCTTTGTTACACAACTATAAAGGGCACGTTTGGATGCCATTTACTTCTTGGCCCTGTTCGCTTCTCTTATAATCCGTACTTTTCAAACATTTTTTTTCATCGAATAAGTTTTTTTTCTCTCATAGTAAATCAAAATAATAGTTTCACGGTTTATTTTTTCAATGAAGCTTAACGGGTCCTTATAGATTTGATTCTAGATAATAAATATAAAATTTAGATTTTTGATAAAAAAATTACTTAGATCTTACTTTTATTTTTATAGGCCATGTTCGTTTCTCTTATAATCCGTCTTTTTTAACTTGTTTTTTCAGCCAGAACAGTGTTTTTGCTTGTTTTTTCAGCGAAACGAACGGGCCATAGTGAATATTACGTTAGATCTTGGGTACATATAGTTGGATTCTAAAATCTTATTTTTGTTTTTGTGTCTCATTCCTGTTTTTCTTACAAGATTCAAGTCTAATTTTTTGGTATTCTTTTTTCTAGAGCGTTGCGCATCATTGTATTAAAAAGTTAAGAATTGTAATTTAGAAGAGATTGGCCTGAGGCCGGGAGGACGCCAGGCTACATCTTTTGCTCTTACAACTTTGAGAACCCGGTGGGCAGCGAACTACCCCGCCGACGCTAGCCCTCCTAAGTTTTTTGCCCCAGCCCAAACCCACTGATCAGCTTCTGCCGTAATGACGAGCTGGAGATCTTGCACTGTGGCCGTGGCTTCCCTAAAGCCGCGCGCATTCCGCTCCTTCCAAATCTACCAGGAGACGAGCGCAAAGAGTGAGTTTTTTATTCTTTAAGATGGATTGACGAAGACTTATGGAACATTGGGCCACGTTTAGTTGGTCACCAAGTTGGCGCCGAATTTACCGGGATGATTGAGTGACGTCCAAACATTGACTAATTAGGCTCAAAACGTTCGTCTCGTAAAGTACAACCAAACTGTATAATTAGTTTTTTATTTCGTTAATATTTAGTACTCCATACATGTACCACAAGTTTGATGTGACGGGGAATCTTCTTTTTACATAGTGTCAAAGTTGTTATTTTGGACGAGGCCTTCATGGAAATGGAGTAACGATTAAATCGTAGTACTCGTAGCTTTTTCTTCCAGTGTACTAGTACCTTTTTCTTCCTTAACAGATTTTATATTTCGTACACCTCCACATATGTCAATGGAATTTTAATAAATTTATCTAGTACCTGTACGTTCAAGACGGGTAAGTGCAACTACGCCCCCGCATAAACTCTTGGATATTGTGCCCATTTATTTTGGGATGAACATTGCACTCATTTATCATCAAAGGCTGATGCAAAATTTTGTTTTTTTTCATATACACATGCCTTGTTTAGTTCGCGGTTAGAAATCCGTATTTGACACTGTAACACTTTCGTTTGTATTTGACAATTATTTTTCAATCATAGCCTAACTAGGCTCAAAAGATTCGTCTCGTAATTTACAATCAAATTGTGTAATTAGTTATTTTTTTATCTACATTTAACACTCTATGCATGTGTCCAAAGATTTGATGCGATGAAAAAAAATGAAAAAACTTACGATCTAAACAAGGCCGCAAGGCCCGCAATGTATATGGTTCCCATTTTTCGTCTCCTGCGCTGCGCTGCGCAAGGGCAGCAGCCAACAAGTACGTGGAGGGGTCATCGTCCATGTTGCATGTCTCCTTGACTGGCGCCCTGCTTCCATCACGAATCAATGGACTGGACCGTGGTCATGGACTATGGTTGTTGCCATTAGTTTTTTTCCTTTTCAGTTTTTCTTGTGTGAGACTTCGGCTTCCAATTGTATTATTACTCTCCCAGTTCTCAAAAGAATATAACTTTTTAGTATAATACTGAGTCCAATTATTTTATATTTAACTAAATTATACTAAAAGAGATCAATAATTAGGATACTAAATAATTATTATTAGATTTCTTAGAAATATATTCTTATATTGTACATAATTTCTATTATAAAGGTTGATACTTTTTTAGTAATGTTTGTCCCATTTTAAACGATTTGACTGAGATTTGAAGAAAGAGTTAAAATTATATTATTTTTGGTACTTTTATAACCCAAAATTTGTGGATTTTCTGTGACGAATTTTACAATGCATTTTGTAGCAAATAGCATCATTTGTAGCTAACATAGCTACGTAGATTAAGTGTAGCTTCACAGAGCTGATGATCTTATGCCCCATTTAGCACAGCTCGCTAGTGAAGTAGTTTTTTTTTTACTTTAACTCCATGAGCAGCTGTAACACATCCGATAAGACATCCCCAACCCACAGCCTATGGGCCAGCCGTGGCCCATGAGAGGGGCGCGCGCCCAGGAACGGCAGCGGCGCCTCTACGTATTCTTTCGTCCGGAAGGAATTAGAAGCATAAAATAGAAATATAAAGTAAATTAGGAGATTAGAGTTTGTCTTGTTTAGGAAAGAGGAACCCAATCTATAAGGATATCTCCTGTAATTGCTTGGAACACAAGTCCTAAAGGGACTATAAATACATGGAGGATGTAACCAATCTAATCAAGCAAGAATAGAGCTATTGCTCATTCCTCTATCTCCCTCTCTTCCTCTCTATTGCTGCCGCCTCCTCTCTCCCTCTCCCTGCGCCGCCCCATCTCCCCCACGCCCTAAACCCTAGCCGCCGCTAGCCCCCTCCCCCATCACGTCTCTTACACTTGGTATCGGAGTCCAGATCGATCCGATGGCCACCACCACCGTGACCGCCGACATGAGGAAGCCGATCATGACCTTCTCCACCTTCATGAACAACCGCTTCGATGAGATCAACGTGAAATTCGACAAACTCAACGCCCGCCTAGACAACATCGAGCGTGCACGCCCTAAGGTGGACGCCGAAAACGACATCCCCAAGGTCCTCGATAATTGGAAGAAGAAGTTTGATGAGCTCTTCGCTCGTCGCAAAAATTCTCCTCCAATGGCAGACCCACCTCAATCAGAACTCACCACTCCAGAGATCACGCACAAAGGAGGAGCACCACGACCAACAACACCCTCCTCACAGCTCCCTTAATCGATAGCAGATCCCAAACTGCCTTCGAGAGAAATCTACGTAGCGCCATATCTACATCAGCAATACTCACACCAAGGACGCCCACAACATCAACATCAACCATGGCTACAGCCACCTTCAGCTACATCAACAACCTCTGGTATGCATCCTATCATCTGACAGGCAGTGCCTAGCAGTGGTACATGCACCTCACGTAGGACAAGGTAGTGACGGATTGGACGTTCTTCGCCCACTGTGTCGATGAGTGCTTCGCTCCCCTACCCAACTCAACCCACTGGGTGAGCTCGTTTCCCTGCACAAGACCGGCACCGTCGATGACTACACGGAGCACTTCCTGGCGCACGTGGCTCGGGCCAGAGTACTGGACGAACAGCAGCAGGTGAACATCTACACGGCCAGGTTACTTGAGCCCCTACAGACCGACGTCAAGCTCCAGAACCCGCAGGACTTGGAGATGGCCATGTCCCTGGCCAGGGCATACGAATGACACCTAGCAGTGATCTCCGACGCTAACAAGTCAGTGGCCTCAGAGTTAGCTAACCGATCATTGTCCCTAAAGGCACCCTCATTGACAACTTTGGCACCGGCATCTACAACAACGACACCGCCAGCTACACCACCGCATCCCTTCAAGCACCTTTGAAGAGTCGAGATGGTGGACTCGAGGGAGGTGAATAGTCCTTTCTAAAACTTAATCGCACCGGCTAACCAAAACAAATGCAAAAATAAAACTATCGGTCTAGACATGACTACACCCCTCTATCTAAGTTCACAAGCACCTTATAAAGATCCTAAAGAGGCAACAAAGGTGCCGAGCTAGCTAGTGCTCACCTATCCAATTCTAGCTTGCAAGGTCACACAAACCTATGCAACTAGTACTTCAAACAAACCGGGGAATACCTACACAATCTAGTAAGCAAAAGCACAAAGCCACCTAAGCTCACTAGCAATGCTCAATAACAAGGCTACACAAGCCAAATTAGAGAGCGCAAAATACTTAGCTACACAAACTAAGAAATGTGACTAACAAGATTACTAAAACCAAATTAGCCACGCAAGGGAGCTACTTCTATGCTACACAAGCTAGAAGGCAACTAGCAAACTACTAAAGCTAAACTAGTCACAAGAGCAACTACACAAGGACAATGTATGAAATATAAATACAAGCTTGCGTTGCACGGAATGCAAACCACCGAGAAGATGATGAAGACAATGTTAACACGGTGATTTTCTCCCGAGGTTCACTTGGTTGCCACCAAGCTACGTCCCCATTGTGTCGACTGTTCACTTGGTGGTTCAGCGGCTAATTGGCATCACCCGCCAAGCCCGCACGTCGGGCACCGCAAGAACCTACCCGGAAAGTGAGGGTAGCTCAATGACACGCTCTACTAGAGTTGCTCTTCACAATCACCGTGGGGTGAGCACAATCCCCTGACAAATCCTCCTCTGATGCACCGCACAATCTTCTCGTGTGCTTCAACGGAGTCATAAGCCACCAAGCCGTCTAGGAGGTGGCAACCTCCAAGAGTAACAAGCACCACCG